GGTTTCTCCAATAGGACTTCCCAAAAATTTTAGTTTTTGGAACATGGTCGGAAATTTTCAAAATTGGGGAAAAAAAGCGGATTTCCGCTTTTTCGTGGAAGTCTTTCATCCCTGCAACACATAATTTTTAAATAAGTCTAATACGAAGATCGATGATTGATATTAAAATCGCGTGAATAAGAATCGAGATTTTGTCAGAATCTGGAGCAGTTCCTAATATTTAAAATTCCTAAAATCAGTCAAACATACATAAAATCCTAAAATCAAACAGTACGTGTCATCATCTGAAAGGCGGGAAAGTCATTCTCTCACACTTACGTGCGTCAAAAAGTTAAACACAGAAATGCTGGAAATAGGGCTGTTTTCCCGAGTTTTCGATACTTTTCAAGGTCATTTTGAATTTTTCAAGGATTTAATATCATTTTCAAGTACTTCTAGGGGCCCTTGAAAATCAAAATGAAATTCAAGTACTTTTCAAGGTTTTTTCAAGGCCGCGGGAACACTGCAAACAATAAAATAAAGTAACTTAAATAACTAATTCACTATTTTAGAGGCAGCAGCTACATTTTTCTGAAAATGGTGAGGGTCAGACTAAAAATATAAATGGCAGACGGGGCAGGGAATCTACTTTCATCATTATTTTTATGACTTTAAATTTAAACAGTGTGCATAACCAGATTTTTCAACAAAAAATAAGCCCCTTTTAAGCACTCAAAAAATATTTTTAAACACTTTCAAAAAAGAAAAAAAAAAACATAATTTGGATCTGTGCAGTAATAAATTTTTCCTTCTTTTATTGTTTAAAGTTCTTAATTTCTGAACATAAAATCAATAAAATTCAAAAACATTTTTACAAACTTCACAGTGAAAATCATGTATTTTTTTGTAATATAAAACGGCAATCGACACAGTAAAGAAAAAATCTCTTCTAAGATAGAAAGTTGAGCACTTTTTACAAATCCCGAATAAAAAAAGCACCTTTAAGGGCTTTTAAATAATGCAAAATAATGAATCAAAAATAACATTACAAAATGCTAAATGAGATAAGAACAATACGTAATCTAAGTCATAATTGCTTTTTTGTTAACAATTCATGAAATATAAAAATGCTCATTTCGCAGAATATGTTTGGAACTGCTTATAATATTCCATTTTAAAAAAATGTAGTGGGTAATAACAGATTGAGGAGTTAAATTTTTATTTTTACACAATACTAAATTTTTCAGAAAGTTCTTATTTCTTAGGATTTTTTGCAATGATTCCTTTATTTCAAATACAAATTATTTTCATGAATTAAGTTCTTGCGCATTTCTTTTTTAAAATTATTTCCTAACGCTTCTTTTCTCTTTCTTTCTTTAAATTGTATACTGTTTGTCTATACACAACACTTTGAAGTTCTTTGTTAGATTATTATTCCTTATGTCAAATTTTTTTAAATTTTTAATATCAATATTTTATTTCTCTGGGGAATGACCTTGGAACGAGGTCCTCGACGGCGAGGTCAACCCAAGGGAATGACCTCGCAATTCATAATTCCACAATTTCAATATTATTTTGTTTTATCAAAATTAATGTGGTGAAAATTTTGAAACAAATTTAATAAAGATTAAACTACATTTTAGAACAAGTTGATGACAGCCCCTTAGCTTAGTAAAATAAACATCGACAATTGCAATTACTTTGAATTATTACTATACTAACTAAGAAGAAAGAGCTGGGTGGGTACTATCCATCTGAAATCCCAGAGAAGTAAAGAGAGTTAGCCAGAGAAGTAAAGGTGGCTGTATCGTTTTGTTACTTTTTTTTTTAATAAGTCTGTAAGATTGTATTAATAATCATAAATTATATCTCAAGCAAATACAACACAAGGGAATTTTATGTATGAACATATTTCAAAGAACTTACTGATTATGAACTAAAACTTTTCTCATTTCAGGATGAATATTTTTCACTATTTTGGAAAAGTCATACAATTTTTTCATTTGCTTCAAGAATTCAAAGCACTCATAGTCTTCCACCTGTTAGAACACAAAAGATTAACTTGATCATTCCGAAATTTAACAAATTAAAAAAAAAAAAACAATTTTCACAAAAATCAACAGAGGCAATTTGATGGTGACTGATGTTAAATAAACTTTTTTATTATTATTATCAGGGTAAGTAGCCAGATTTTTCAACAAAAAATAAGCACCTTTTAAGCACTNAAAAAAAAAAAAAAAAAAAAAAAAAAAAAAAAAAAAAAAAAAAAAAAAAAAAAAAAATTATTAGGATCTATGCAGCAATAATAAATTTTTTTTCTCTAATGTTTAAAGTTCTTAATTTATAAACATAAAATCAATAAAATTCAAAAAATTTTCAAATACTTTAGATAATCATGATAAAATAACTAGTTTTTGATAAATATTGCAGAGAAAATTGTGAAAATCAAACATTCTTTGTAATTTAGAATGACAATCGATATGGCAAAGAAAAGATATCTTTTTATAAAAGATTGAAAATTAAGCACTTTTTTCAAACCTCGAATAAAAAAAAGCACCTTTAAGGGTTTTTAAAAAATTTAAATAAAAAATAAGCACCTTTAAGAATTTTTTAAAGACACTAAGCACCCTGATTTCAACAAAATACTTATTTTAAACTACGAAATTTGTCAGTGGAGGGATACTATTAAATATTTTCTCTCTCTTTTTATTGATATGTTGTTCTTTGAAACAGGGATCATTATAATTATGTTATTATTATAATCAAAAATCATATAATTGTGCTATTCTTTTACATAATGTTTAGAAATTATTAGATTTGAAGTTACTCATAGGTATCTTAGATCTAGTAATAACTCATAAATAAATCTTAGGTTCTTATCAAATCAACAAAAGCCAAAAACCATGACCCTGCACAAAATTTCAATATTTTAAAGAACCTTTTGGAAAATTTTTAACTCAGAAAACTACCCTTTCAAATAATCTAACTTTACTAAAATAATAACTCAATTCTCATGAGTGCGGTGTCAAGGTTTGAACAAGTTGTTTATTTTAACATTGCCAGTCAAAGGTAATTCAGCTTTTTTAACCGACTAATAACAAAAATCAATACAAGTTTTATTATTATTATTTTTTTAAAAATAGTTTAAGGGGAATTTATAGAAATAAGGATGAATAAATATGTTTCCCTAACATTGCTAACAACAATAAAATAAATCTTAATTCTTTTCACAGGTATTTTTGTTCATTTAAACAAAGTTATAAATTCATTACATTACACACATATTTTGCAAGCAGTGGGAATACTAACACAAATTTTGATTTAAAAGAATACTTTAAAACTGATGAAAATTATGTACTGTACTTCGGGCTTAATTTAAAGCACATGAAAACTGATTACTTTATTCTAATATATTATTTCTCATTTTATTTGCTTACATTATACAATGAAAACAATTATAAATTTGATTCCTTCCCATAATATCATAGAAAAAAAATTCAAGGAACACTAACATTTATAATATGCACTTTAAGATTTCTTTTTAATGTTTTGTATGCAGATGAATGTTTCTGGGGACGATCAATTCGTTTCATCAGTTAAAACCAGGGTTTATGACCCACCCACACAAAAAAAAAACTCAAAGTGGGTTTTCTTTAAAATAAAAAAACTGGATTCAAATCGGTTTTTTATAAATACAATTGTAGCAACCACATAACTTTTTAAACTTGCGGAAAAACTNGGTTTATGACCCACCCACACAAAAAAAAAAAAAAAACTCAAAGTGGGTTTTCTTTAAAATAAAAAAACTGGATTCAAATGGGTTTTTTATAAATACAATCAAAATAGATTAATAAGGAATAATACAGGGGTAGCAGCAAAGTTTTTTAAAATTTTAGGGTAATTTTAGGAACTTTTTTCAAAACATTTTATGTAAATTTTAGGGGTAATATATGATTTTGCTAGGATAAAAACAGATCACACGGTAGTTTATTACATAACAGAAGGTTATTACAATTCATCCACACATATCATAAATAATTGCAAGCCATAAAATAAAGTTCTGAAATTTATTAAGTCAAGAATGAAATCTCTAAAGTGTAAAAATGAAATTTCAACTTTACATATTACCTATCAGAAATTAAGTGCATAATTCAGGAACAGGCAAAAGTGAGAATAAATCAAGAGAAAAAATAAATTAACACCAACTTGGATTTTTATTTAATTTTTACCTTCTTAATCAAAACTTTATTATTACCCTTTACCTTACTTTATGAAGAAAAACTATTGTGTGATATTATTATATTTCAAATCAGCAATTGATATTAGAAGTTAGAGAAAAACAAATTAATCATGATCATTTTTCTAATATATTCTTGATATGATTTGTGAGATTCTTTTACTGCCCTCAATAGTGTTGTGGTAATCTTCAACACTTCTCCATAATTTCGAATGGTATCTTTGATTAGTCTAAGAGACATAATAGTATTCTCATGGTGACTCACATTAAGCATTGCTTTATTTATCGAAAACCTTTCTCAGGATCAGAATTCCCATGTGGCAAAATTAAAACAGTTTTAATTAATGTAGTTAAATTCTTATATTTTAGATTATTGCTTTTTTATTTATATTTAGCCTATAACACTAATTTTTTAGGAACACCAACAAAATTTTATCAGATTTTTAGGAATTTTAGGGTTTGCACATAGTTTTAGGAATTTTATGAATTTTAGGGGGAATGCGACCCCTGATAATATTAAAAAAAAGAAAGAAAAGGATTTAAGGGATTTCATATTTATCTTAAATATGATTCTGGAATTTTCAAATCTACACTAACTATAGTTTAAAGAGTAATTTCTAAAACTACTAGAAAATTTTCTAAATAAACAGTAGTGCTGTAGTTAGTTGGCCTGCAAAAAGCTTACGTTATAACTAAAAAAATAAAAGTTTAATAATAAACACAGCATATTTCTCTGATCCAATATATTATGATTTTATTTTTAGTCAAGAAGTAATCTAAGAGTCTTTCATTAATACCAGCATGGAAAGATGGTACTACTTTAAAATTAAAAACTTTTTATTTTAATTCATAACTTAAATAGTATTTCTGTACATGCTTTCTTTTTATTAAAATTGTTCTTTTCTGAATTAAAAATTAAATCCTACAAGTGTTTAACTAGATAATATCTTAAAAAACCCACACAGGTTGAGTTTCTTTTTAAAAATCCAGGTTTTTTTTAAACCCTGGTAAAAACTAATCCTAAAATGACTGAACAAAATGTTTGCAGGATTTCATACTATTTAACAGAAAATAATTTATTGCATAATTGCTCAATGTTTTTCACAAATTTACAAAGCAGGACTCAGACAAGATTTATCAGATCAAGTCTTGCTACGTATAGCAAAAATAAACCACAGAATCAGAAAGAAAAAAAAAAGAAAAACACTAATGGTGCACATTTCATATATTACAGTCCCACATTATAAGCAGAAACCCTGTGGCAAATTTTTTTCGAACTATCTGCGACAAAACTCTCCAGTAATAGTAACTTTCTGCAATATATTTTTAATAATAAAAAACACACATGTAACTAATTTAAAATAACAAAAGCACTGTCTACAAAAGAAAAAAACTATAATTTTTTTAATTGAAAATGTAATAATTTTTTATTCTAATATTATGAGTGATATTCTTGCATTTTGTTGTGGGGGGGATGCAAAAATAATTTCCTTTTTTGCATTTTGTAAATAATCATAACAATAAAAATCACGAAACCGTAGTAGTAAATACCGAAAAAAAGATCGATGACGAAATCACGCGAATCAGACTCCTCAAATGTATGTTTCATTTTTAAATTAGGTAGTTGTTAAAAATAATATCGTATAAAACATATCAGATTTAAAAACTATGGAGAAATCAATAGCAATAACTACCAAATACAGGATAGAACCACTGCCAAAAAATGTAAATACCCAAATGCATGATTCGAATTTTTTACATCGTTTGAAGTATATCAGGTTACTTAAAAACCATGTGAAAATCAACCTCAATAACTGCCAAAAATACAATCTAAACATCACAAAGATACTATTGGCGTCAATTGAGAAAGCCAAAAAGTGATGATCTAAATATTACTTGTAAATTTCAGTAGAAAAGAAAACTACAATCGTTTACTTTTCAAAAGAAAACTCTTTCTGCTACAAAGTTGCGGTGTCACTGCGATTTTGCCCCCGGGAGTAGAAAATAATCTCCATATTTAACAGCCTGATAGATACAAAAAACACTTAGAAAAATTAAAAAATCCTTACAACTAAACGATAAGGTCCTTCTCCATATTGAGAATGTCTCGATTTCTTAGAGACAGGTAACATAACATTCTTGGTAAATTCCATTGTTTCAGAAAGAGACACTGTAAAACAACAAGAATACTAATAAGATTCCAAAGCCTTTTGAAATTACACAGGGTGGAAATAAATACATTATACTAAATAAGTATCAACTTACCAAACTCAGGTTCTTTGCGTTTCTTGGATGAGCCAATTTCAAGAGCTGAAGCCTGTTGTTCATCAGACTTGCGATCCCGACCAGGACAAGCGCATATTTTAACATCGACTTTCCGCCTTCCCAATACTTGGTTCCTGAAACAGCAACGATTGTTACTTTAATGAGCAACAACAATTGAATAAGGAGTTTTCAAATAACTACTTAATATGAAAAATAATGGCAAGAAAGAAAAAGGTATTTAGAGTATAATCATGCTGAAAATAAATACACAAATATTAAATAAAATAAAATAAAAGGAACATTTTTTAAACAAATTATGCAAAATTACAATCATTATTTTCAATAATTCAATTATCATATGCTAAAAAATATTTGGATATAGTGAACCATCTTTTATACTGAGCATATTACTGAATCTGTAGAAAGTCCACTTCAGCAGGGCTCGATTGCAAAACTTCAGGAAAGTCAGATGTTTTAACCAGGTGTATGTTAAAATGGCTTATTTTGGTTTACCTTCTTTAGGAAACACCGATTATTTATTTATTATTATGAGAAGCACATATTATTTATTTATTAATTTTGAGAGCTTTGCTTCGAAATGTAAGAAATTTGTCAAAAAATAAGTTTTAAATAAATTAGAATTAAATTCTAAAGCTTAAAAAAAATAATTATATTTTTCTGAGAAAAGAAACCTCTTAGTTGGGATATTTAGGTGCAGATAGAATAGTATACAAAGCAAAACCTTCAAATTTAACACAGCATGTCTTGTGAGCAATAAAAAAAGAACAAGACTAATCCAAATTTTAAAGGTAAAATTCTAAAAAAAAAAAAAAAAATTATAGAACTTTTTCATGTAAGTTGTGTGTTGTTTTAATTGCATTATAAAAATTTACTTATAATTAATACAGGGGTGATTGCGAGTCCAACTCAAAAATTCTGAAAATTTCTTGAGTAAAATCATTAATGACGCATTTCAAAAAATTTATGTCTTTATAAATTTAAATCTTTGATACTATCAAAACTAAATAAATTATATACAGCATAATTTAAGTGAATAATTATGTACAAGTTTACTTTTATCTCTAAACACATTTCAGGGGTCTGTTTAGAAGAAATTTGGGTCCGTTAACGGACCCTTCACAAAATAATTTATCTTTTAATCGCACCCTTCACAAATTTGTGTATCTTCATTATTGTCCTGTTAATCGAATAAACCCTTCCCAGGGGGGCAAAAAGAAAGATGAACGTAAATGAACTAAGTTAATAAAATTCTAATTTATTAAAACTACTAACATTGTCGGTTATTATACCATCGTCAACAGCTACTATTGAAAGGTTATTTTCGAAAATTAATCTTGTTTGCACTGAGTTGCGAACGAGGATGGAACAAGAGACACTCATAAGACATTTATTGTAAATGGATCAGAAAAATTGACTGATGCTGAGAGCTATTATAGATATTTTCAAATCTACTGGCAATCGACGTATATTGCTCTAATATTTTGATAATTATGTTTCTCTGTTTTAATTCTAAGGCTAGGTTTGATCTCATTTCATTTATATTATGTACCTTACTCTTCGAAGTCAAAAAAATTTATAAATTCAAAATGTAGTATTCTAAGAAAATATAACAAATATCGTGTGTACATTCGTATTGATATTAAATGATAATTTTTTTTGTAAATAAATAATTGAGCAATATATATTTATTCATAAAATTAATTGATAAAATATTATGTAAATAAAAATTAAGTTAGGTAAATTAAACAAAAAAATATTATGAATTTAAGAATTGTTTAAGTTTACTTAATGCGTAACAAATTAGAAGTGATACACAACTAAGTTGTGTCATTTAAAATAAGTCAATAGAAATTATTAAAAATGTGAGCGATTTTATTTCCATTATTCGTCCGAAATGAATATTCTACGTTCAGCAGTACAGGCTAAATACCAAATATTTGCATGTTGCATCTCCAACTTAGTAGCGGCTATAGCTGTTTATTTTTGAAAATTAATTTTTTTTAAAAATGTTAATATACAGTGTTGAGCATTATCTTGTATCTATTTACAATTTAAAAACTCCTTGAAATGGTTTTTTGCAATAATAGGACCTTATTTGCACAAATTCACAAAAGCAAAAGAATGTAACTTAATGCTTATTTTATATTCAGAAATTACGAGTAATTTTTTTTACAATTTTACAAAAACAGGACCTTTCACAAAATGTCTGGACAGACCCTTGCATTTATTATTCTACCAGAAAAAATATTTACAAATGAAAGATGCCAAGGATAAATTATAGTTCTAATATTTTTAAATGAAATATACAAAAAATTTTATACATAAATGTGATCGACGATTTCATGAAACTTCCGGAAATGCGGTTAGGGAAAAATCCGGAAATCCAGATTTTTTCTGGAGCACAATCACCTCTGTTAATATGCATTAAGAATTCAAAATAAATGCAAAAAAATTCTTTTTCCTAATTTTTTTTTTTCATTGTACCATGCTGTTTAGTTATTTTTAACTTCATTCATATCAATCAAGATATAAAATTTTTTAATTAATAAATTCATGGTTAAAAATAAACATAATTTTACTTAATGCTTCTATTATATTATTTTAATAAATATAAAAAAAATGTCAATTTGAATTGTACATGATACAAGTTCAACATGATAGTTCCTAAACATTTAGTAGGTTTTATATCGAACAACTAAAACATGTAATTAATGGGATAATTCAATAAATAATAAAGTAATTAATTCAACAAATACCCTTTCTCTAAAGTGAAGACAAGCATCAAAGGTCTTCTGTTTGGGCCAAAAGGACAAGAGCCAAAGCAGGTAAACTTATATATGTAGGTGGAGAATAATTGGCCAGCTACAAAGAAAACAAAATATAATTTTTTTATGAAAAGAAAGAAAAATGAAATGAGAAGTTTATTTTAAACAGAATATTTACCAGGAGGATTTTCAAAAGGAACAAGAACACTATGGCGCCTGGTAGATGGATCAATATCATAGCTAACATTTGAGCTTTCACATCTTACTAGATGTTCTGCTTCAAAAATATCTATGAAAAAAAAAAATATTAGGATTAATGTTCAAAATTCAAAAAAAAAATATTTTTAAAATAAATAAAATTATATTACTAAATCTTTCAGGAAATAAATTGTAATTTATTTTCGTCCTTAAAGTAGAAAACTTGTTTAAAAATTTAAAACGGTAAAATGTACTAAAATTATAAATATTCAGCTAATAAGGAAAATTGAGGCAGAGAGTACATTAAAAAAAAAAAACGCTTTGCGCAGTTTTGTAACATAAAACACTTAATTGAATATATAACTAATATTACAGACTAGGAAAACTAATAAACTATACAAAATTTAGGAAAGATCCCCAGTTTAGATCAAAAGATATAAGCTAAGGGTATCTCCCCAGTACAAGTTTATTTGATACATAAAATTTCAACAAAAAAAACCTTTACTAATGAATTTTATATGAAAGTTTTTCAGTTCTAGCAAAACCATAACAATGACAAAACAAATAATTACATATACAGGGTGTGTAGCCAGAATTTATAAAAAAAAAAAAAAAAAATTAGCACTTTTCAAGCACTCAAAAAATATTTTTAATCACTTTCGAAAGAAAAAAAAAATTAATTAGAATCAGTGCAGTAAGAAAAATTATTTTTTTCTACCATTTAAAGTTCTTCATTTATAAACATAAAAACAATAAAATTCAAAAACTTTACAAAATCATGATAAAATAACTAGTTTATGATAAATATTGCAGAGAAAATGGCTCATCATGCTTTTTTTGTAATTCATAACGACAATCGAAAAGAAAAATCTCTTTTTAAAATATAGAAAATTAGCATTTTTTACACACCCCGATTAAAAAAAAAGGACCTTTAAGGGCTTTTAAAAAATGCAAATCAGAAATAAGCACCTTTAAGCACTTTTAAAAAACTCTACGCACCCTGATATAGATTAATTTATAACAAGTATAAATTACAGTCTACATACTTTTTGACTTTTCTTCTAGAGAGTGATTAACACAACGCACAACAACTTCAGATGCAGACTCTGGAGAACTATATAAAGCTATGGCTCTGATTTTAACATTCTCTGGCATCAGAGTATTAGTAGAGAAATTGATGGGGCAGGGAGCATCCTTGCCAACATACAGTTTGTCCAAAGATTTGGAATACTAAATAAGAGAAACACAGTTTATTTAAAAACCATGATCATAATAGAAAAATACAGCACAAAACTTTAAAATATTTACCGTCCATGAAACGCCTTTTGTACTCTTCTCTTGTTGGCTGAATGACACATTGAAATTATAATCACCAGGCCAGTTTTGGCTGAAAAGAAGGGATCATTTAGTAATAACATCTATATTCTAAGTGTCATATAAGATAACTGTGTATGCATGTGTAACTAGCTGTGGGGAAACTTTGATACTTACAGAAGATGGCCATTAACTCTCAGAAAAGCTTTTTTCCAGACTGATTTTATTGAATTGGAACTAGTGTTACAGATTTAAAGAAATTCTCACTTATGCCTTATGTTCACAGATAAAATGTACATTCAGGGGTCTGTCTAGGTTTTTCTGAGAGGTGCATATTTTGTGAAAATTCAGACATAATTTGTGAAAAAGTAAAAATTATAATTAAAAATCAACAAAAAAAGATGGATTTATCGTTTCTTAAGGGATAAAAAAATAAAATTTTAAGAAAAAGTATTTTGTGAAACTACCGTTTTTCCTAAAGTTGGAATTTGTGAAGGTACCGCTAAACGGTAGTAAATTCGGCCTGGACAGACCCTTGACATTACAGGGTTGCCACAGAAAAAAAATTAACAAAATAGTTACCTAACAAGAACAAATTTTTTTTAACAATATGACTAAAATTTTGTTAAATGATTTAATTGTCATATACCATGCCAAGATCAATTTTATCAAGTTGGTGGCAAGTATAATAATTTTAATATATATATATATATATATATTTTTCATATATATTTGCAGAAAATTAAACACTTTTAATAAATTCATTCAAAAAAAATACTTTTTCATTAAAAGGAACATAAATTTTCCCTTGTCAATTGATTTAGCAAATATATGCATACACATACATATTGTGAAACGTGATTACTCAAATTAGAAGTTCACGCACAACAAAATCGCATTAAAAATTGGGTTTTTCGAGACTTCTAAGTCACCCTATTACAGTTAGGAAATTCAATGAGAAGGTGCCAACCACAATTTAAACTGCTTAGTGAGAAAGACACAAAGAGTTATTTTTTAGTTTTACTTGCAACATTGATTCAATCTGACAATTCCTTAAAATTCAGAGATTAAAGTAAATAGTGGAGCAATGTACAAGTTTTAATTTTTCAAATTTGAAGAAGGCACCTATGAGTATTTGCTAATGAATAACAACATTAGAAAGGCTTGCCACTAGCAACATAATAAAAAAATGCCAAGTAAAACATTTTAAATGAGTGTTGATGATTTATTATAGATCTTCCTAATTGGTAGCCTCCATAGCAAAGATATTAAATATTTCTTCATACACAAAAAAAGGGCAATCAAAGTTTTATCTTCAACCTTGTGGGCAAAAATATTATGTGGGTCAATTTTAATTTTAAAAATTAAATAAATAAAATTATAGATAAATATAAATCTTACATTTATTTCTATGTTTATAATGTATGAAGTTTAACCATTAGTCACTACAACTTAATGTTTTTAAATAATTAAAATAGGAAGTCTAACAATGATTCAAAAGCAGGTTTTTTTACAACAAATATTTTTTTTTTTATGCTGGTTTTTTTTTGATATTTTAAATACATGTATATAAAATATTTTGTAAGAATTTTTTCATTTTTTTTAAACCAATAAATCTTAAGTCGTTTTTAATTAAAAAAATATTAAAACAAAGCTTGCGCTTGCTTGAACTATAAGACATTGGCTTTATTTTAGCTTATTTCCTTTAATTATTTTTGATTTATTTACGATTTCTGATTGTAGTTTTCATTAAAAAAGAATTTTTGAACATAAGTTATATCGGGAACAGATGATATAAAAGTTTGCACATCGGCTAGCNGTAGTCATCATGATATTTTGTGAAGGGTCCGTTTTTAAGTTAAAATATTTTGTGAAGGGTCCGTTTTTCTGGAAAGATATTTTGTGAAGGGTCCGTTTTTCTGAAAAGATATTTTGTGAAGGATCCGTTAACGGACCCAAATTTCTTCTAAACAGACCCCTGTACATGTATATAAAATACTTTGTAAGAATTTTTTCATTATTTTTAAACCTATAAATCTTAAGTCGTTTTTAATTCAAAAAATATTAAAACAAAGCTTGTGCTTGCTTGAACTATAAGACATTGGTTTTATTTTAGTTTATTTCTTTAAATTATTTTTGATTTATTTACGATTTCTGATTGTGTAGTTTTCATTCAAAAATAATTTTTGAACAAAAGTTATCAAGATGTCTAACAGACGATATAAAAGTTTGCACATCGGCCAGTCCTAGGCCTAAGAGAGGGTAAAGAACAACAACACTGAAAATACATGTAAACTGAAATCATGGGGAAAAAATGTGAGGAACTATTTTGTACAAAAAGAGAACAATATTATTTACATACTTAATTTTTTTTTACTATAATTGTTAATTATATGTATAATTGATGCACAATAATTGTTAAAGCATTACATGAATTACAATTATTGATATTAAAATAATAAATTAAAACAAAATAAAGTAGAAATGTCATGAAAAAAACAAGACATTTAACATGGCATTCTCTTTCTCTAATAATAACAGTAGAACAAATATTTTTTATTCAGAACAATGTTCTTAGAATGAAAATAAATCACTAAAATTCATAAGAAAAAAAGAAAGAAAAAGGGCAGATACCTGGCTGGTAAGGATGATGGTGCAAGAGGAACTGAAGAAGCAACTTGAGGAACATTGTTTGTTTCGATTAATTCCTAGAAAAACAGTGAGAATGTAACTAAAAACACTATTTATGTGACAGAAATAACTTATTGTAAATATGTTAACAAGGTGCGTTGTCAAATCTTTCCACAAAAACTAATCACTTTTTAAGCACTAAATGAATTTTTTAAAGCAGTATATACATTGACAAAATGCAAAATAGTTTTCAAAATCTTTTCATGATCATTATAAAATAACTAGTTTCTGATAAAGAACTCTTTTCTTGATTACATTAGCAACCATAAAAAAATAGAGAGATTTTTCGGCTCCATTTCAGGGGTGGAAAATGACACCTGAAATTGAAAATATCTCGCAAAATGCAGCAGAGTAGCACACGAGAGTGCAAGAATCTCACCGAACCCAGCTCAGTATAAGTACATGCAGACCCGCAAGTTTAATCAAACATGTAAAATGATTGGCGCTTTCACACGCTAGGGAATGGCGGTACGCCGAAATGCATTGTGTTTGAAATGCATTGTAAAAATTTTGCATAGCACGTGAAAACCATGTTTTTGCATAACACATGTTAAAAATAGACATGGTAAAAAAAAAAATAATCTCATTTTCGAAAAGGGAAAATTAAGCATCCTAAAGATGCACCAAAAAAAGCATCTATTTGGTGGCTTTTAAAAAACTAAATAAAAAAGAAGCACCTTTAAGTACTTTTAAAAAACGCTCAGCACCATGGTTAAGGCAGTTAAGAAAAGTTCTCATAACATTTAATGTCTAATCATTTACACCGTAGGTTTTTAACCTTTTTTTAGCTCACTGACCCTTTTGAAAAACGTTAACCCTTTATAAAAGTACTTTTAATATTCTTGCTGTGATTCACTTATAAATTATTGAAATTATTATTGACTAATGAATTTATATTTTAACTTTTTTAAGACAATTTTTATTAAAGTAGCCCTCATGCGAAAATTATAGGTATTTGCATGGAAATAAATTCAATGTAACACTCTCCAATTTAAATTAAATAATCAACTAAATATTATAGCTTATAAATTATTTCACCTAAATGTAATTTTAAGTTAACTTCAAATCTTAAATATATGTGAAAACGGGCAGTAACAAAAAAACAAAGTCATTAAAAAAAATAAGGTTAAAGAATATGCTTACCACAGGAACAACTTCTCTGTTATTATAATTATTCTGGACAGATAAGTTATTGAAGTGGTCGTTGTCCAACTAAAATAAATTAAAATAAATTTATGGGCAATATAGAGTAAAGAAAAAACTCTTGATAAAATAAATATCCGAGTTGCATTTCAAAGTAAAATATTTTTACGGTTAATTATGGATGTAAAAACAAATTTAACGACTTAATTTATTTGGATCGGGGACAAAAACTTACCAATGTTTCAGTTAAAATAGTGGATATTATCAGGGCTCAAAATTGTATGTGGTCTTCTAGACCATCAACTTATAAGAGACATGTAAACATAGGAGTGATTAAATTTGGTGAATTTCTAACCCTTAAAAAATATATATAAATGAGTCCATTAAAAAAATAATAAAAACACTAATAGAATGATTATCGTCAATAAATTCCTGGATTAAAAAATAACCATTTCGATTAAGATAACAGATATATATATCCACACAAACATATATATACATACATATCTTATTTAGTTAAAATACAGTAAAATATGAACTCATTCTTAATAACAAAAAAAAAGTTCTTTAAACTATAAACAAGAATTATAAATTGCAACAAATTCAAAAGTTATACTTTTACAATAACAAATTCTATAATTAATGCCTGAAGATAAAGGAAAATTCTTAGAAATCTTTTCATCAATAAAAAATAAAAGTTATTTTAATTAGCCAGTAGGAACCAGTTTGTACCAAGAATCACAAAAGCTTTACAATACAATGCATTTATTGCTAGCATTCCACGCTCTCTTGCACATAAATAATTACAAACAGGTTATAAGGTTTATGAACTCAACAAGTTTTAACTTGTACATACCTTGACTATATTTATGGACAAATTGAATACAGTTTCAATATAGTAAAAAAAGATAAAGCAATAATTATAATTCCTTAATATTTTTATTTATTTCTTCATGATGGGCGAATTTTGTTAAAATATAAATAACAGGGTGAGTAGCCATAATTTTCAACAAGAAATAAGCACTTTTTTAACACTTATTAAAATAAAAAAAAAATCATAATTAGGATCTGCGTAGAAAATTACTTTTTTCTGTCGTTTAAAGTTCTTAATTTATAAACATAAAATCAATAAAATTAAAAAAAACATTTTCAAAAACTTTACAGAATCATGATAAAATAACTATTTTCTGATAAATATTGCAGAGAAAATTGTGAAAATCAAAGAAAAAATCTCTTTTTTAAAGATAGAAAATTAAGCACTTTTTTCAAACACTGAATGAAAAAAGCCCCTTAAGTACTTTTTAAAAATGCTAAGCACCCTGAATAAGTACACTTAAAAGTTTTAAAACTGATGAAAAAGACTGTTCTTAAAATTGTGATATTAAATTTTATAATATTTACTTAATAATAAAATATAATACTATAAATTCGAAAAATTCAAACAACTAAGCCAGAATATTAGTTGTCTTTAAAACAGATCATGATTGTTAACTCAAGGGCAACAAAAATGTTGTACAAAACTTATAAAGGTAATTGCTTTAAAATTAAAATTTGGATATTAAATGTCTAAGTAATTCGATTCAATTTATAAAATAAAAAGATCCTTAAAAGTTAACTTTTAACAATTTAAACTAATTTTAACTTATCATAACTATCAAAAAATTGTTATAATAACTATTATCCTAACAAATTATAAAATGGATGAAATTAATTCGAATTATTTAAACATATTTAATTTTATATAAATTTGTTTCTAAGGTAATTATCATAATTTCAGTCATGCATGAGCATGCGGCTCTAATGCACGCCATGCAAGTGGCCTTTTTGTCAAAATATTAGTGCACCACTAATTTTGAAAACTTATTTCAAACTTAAAATTGATAAATCATTACAAAACACGTCGCAGAAAATAAAAATATAGCTAATAAAATAAAAAAATTGGGAATGATAAATTTGTAAAAAACGTAAACAAAACATTTGATTACAAAAAAAAAGCAATTAAAATATAATAAGATGAAACAAAATTTAAACTAACGGCGGGAAAAACAATCTAAATAAGCATAGAAGCAATTAAATAAAATCTAACTAAACAAAACTAGCCAAAAAAATTCCTACATTTTACGCTTTAAGAGAGAAAAGAAAAAGGTGAGTAAAAAGTTAACAAAGTAATTAAGATTTAAAGATAAGGCAATGATGATTTAAAATAAATTAATTTCAATATTAAAATAAAATGTATTTATAAAAAAAGAAAGTAACTAACCACCACTGCTGGAGGCAAATTCGGCATTTTGATCTTGGACCGTTGATTTTTCTTAGCGTCGAAAAGCATCTCGGAAAAATTACGAATTTAATCCGCACGCGAAAAATCGAAACACACAATGCTGATCCTAAACAGCGCGACCACGTTTTAAAAGCACACCTATCCTTTCGGCTCAAACAAGTTCGTTCTTGACGAAACAAGGCAGGAGCAAACGTGTAGCGGAGAGGTAATGAAAAACAAAATAACGATCCGATGTTATCATTGGGGGAAGATAGTATTCTCGGAAGCTGCAGATGGTTTCGCTTTACTTTTAACGATTTCGCAATCGCTAACTAGTACGACTATACGAGTTGAAACAAGAAAAGAAAACCACAAAAGAATTCCGGGGGTTTGCTTTTTAAACGTGGGTAAACGAAACTTCGCAGTTTTGGAAGCAATATCTGAAGAGTGATTAGTAATAGCGAGGAAAAATCCAGTTGGTACATGTCAGGCAGTTTTATCGCGAATAACATAACGCACTGTAAGTCAGCAAAAGAAAAGAGAAAGAGAAAAAAAAAAAAAAAAAAANAAAAAAAAAAAAAAAAAAAAAAAAAAAAAAAAAAAAAAAAAAAAAAAAAAAAAACTATGCACATACACATAAAATAAAAGCGAAGTTTTTTAAAAATATCAAGTGGAAATAAAATAAAACACTTACTGAAAGAAAAGTTAAAAGATCAACAAGAATATTATAATTAATAATGTTTAAATTTAAAAAGTTTCAGCATAATTTAGAATTCTAAAACCCTAATTTTTAATATCTTAAAAATTATTAACATTAGTTTTTTTTTTTAATCCTTTCTAAGTTAGTTTTTAAAACTCTTATAAATTTCAACATTAACTATATTATTTCAACATAAAATGAATTTTTTTTTTTCAATGAAAATTTGTATGCTTATTCACATATAAATTTGGATTTTAATTAAAGTTACTTGTAAGAAAAAAAGCGAGCACCGAATTATATGGATTATTTTAAATATACTTGAACAGTATATAGTAAAACTGTAGAATAGTTTTTTATACAAATGGTAGTCAAATTTTGAATTAATTTTAAACAGAACTATTTCAAGAGCTATGGGACTATTTAGAGTAAAAATTCATCTTATTATATATTTCTTTGATAAATTTCTTTTTTTTGCTTAAAAAATAAATTATAATAATAAAAAAACTTTTGTAATATCTTTTTCGCTTTTAAAATCTATTAAATTTTTAACCCATTATTATTATTTTTTCTTCTATGTCTGCATGTATTTTTTTTTATTTTTGCAGCAATAATTAAGATGGAATAATTTAATTCTATAACACTGTAAAATGTTTTACTTTATAGTTATTAAAAATTTTTATTTTAAAAAAAATTTCCTTTTATTTTAATTAAAATCATGATTTCTTATTTAAATTCCTCTTGATATTTCAATAGGTTTTAGACATTACTAACTTTTTCTTGACATTTTTTTTCCTTGTGACTAATATTTTCCAGAAGAAAAATGAGTCTTATTTTAATACTTCATAAGATAACTTACCACAGACCTTAAAAATTATTTGTTCTCACTAATCTACTAAAATGTTTACAATGCTGACATTAAATAATATGCTGAAACAAGATAAAATATCCTAAACCTATTGACCAGCATTATAAACGTAAAAATAGAACATTCAACATAGAAAAATAAAACATTCTCTTTGTTCGCCAAGCTTTTTTTTAAAGTGGAACAAATTATTTCTCAAAGTAAAATAAAAAAAATTAAACATAGCTTAATGAATTTTATTATAAAGAATGTAAAATTCAAAAATATTAGAAAACTAAAATTTTTTTTTTTTATAATTATTTTTTTACCCTAAAAACAAAAATTAGTAGGAAAATTTTTTGTTGATAGCAATAAAAGTTCTTGAAATGTAACAAGGTTGGGGGAAAAAAAAAAAAAAAAAAAAAAAAAAACAGAATTAGTATATTCTTTAACAAGTTCTTAAAACACTTGTAAATGATCCAATCAAGCAAATGCACTAGAATTTCAAAATATTACTTACAGCTAAAATTAGTTATTTAATGTTTATTTTACACTTTTTGAAATAGAAAATATTTAACATAATTAAATTGTTTTTTTTTGTNAAAATATACTTTACTTTTTTTTTTTTTTTTAAATGAAAAATTTGATTTTAACTTGTCCAATTTTTCAACTTACGTGATAATTGTTGCAAAATATACTAAATATTTTTACACATAGGGAATTTTAGTCATCAAAATCAAATAAACTAATATTTTTCAGTTATGATTTCACATTAAATTAAACTTGAAATGTTATGTATTATGTTTACTCATAATTTTGAATAGTAATAACCATTTAATTCATCAAAGATAGTTAACTGAATTTTAGAACTGAGGCTTGCCTTATTATGTATTAGTGACTTATTTAAATTTTTAAGCAAGCAATAATCTACACAAAAATTCGATTTCAACAGATTTTTTAAGGAAACTTTCTCAATTTAGAGGGAATTTACTAAGTGTACAATACAAAAACTATAGGAATATTTATTAAACCAGTAGACTAGGAGAAACAGGCAAAATCCAGTAGAGTTGGCAGCCATGCTTTTAATTTAAACCATAATATAATCTGATAAGTAAAAAGTAATGAATTAATTTGGGGTACCTTCTCTCAAAATCATTAATCAATATAAAGGAGTTATTTAATGATTTTTTGAAAAAAATATAAGGCAATAATAAAATATGAGTCAATAATAAAATGATGACAAATCACAAAGATACTATAGATAAGAT